GCTAATTCCAAGCTGTATTTTTCTTACACAGTACGCAGACAGCAATGATCTTTTTTGGTAAAACATCATAATTTCTGATAGTTATTTATCCAGAATCATCTCTAAATCTTTTTTAAGATGTGACAAATAAGGCAAATTTTATGGGGAAAGCAGTGCTGGGTTTGTTTTCAAACTTGCCCAAGTGTTGAGGGTTGGAGGGCAAGAAAAGTATTAGGGAGAAAAAAAAAACCTTCAGTATTAGAAAAAAAATACCATGCCTTATGATTCTTGGTTTGCTATACCTTTACACCACTACAGGTAAAAGATTACTTCAAAATCACCACATTCTAAAATACAACCCCCCATACGGGCAGTATAGCCTGTAGCTTAGATTCTTTCTAAATATATTTTGAATTTCAAATTCAAAATTTAGGATTAAAAATAAAACACAAGTCATGTCTCAAGATACTGCTTTTAGCCAGGAACTAAAAATATGTCACCTGCTTACACTAGAAAGCAACTCTGTCAAATCACTTTCACTGATGAAGACGAAACTTTTATGATCAGCCAGCTATCATCCAAGAATACTGTATTTTACTTCTCAATATTGTCTTGCATTTCCATTTACGGGACTAACATCCAGATGGCACACCAGTTATTCAACCAATCTTGTCTCAAGACCTAAGTCTCAAGTTACCATAGGGAGAAAATTCTTACATAAATATGGAAGACTGGTCTCAAGATTAAAATGTGAGGTTTTTTACAACATGGTGATGATGTTAAGTGGAAAGTCTGCAAGGCAAACTCAACAAGTAGGTGACAGTGAAGTTACCTGGGTACGATGAAAATAAATTCAGAATCTTCAGTGTTATTACCTAATAGTCATTAAGCCTCATATATTAAACAAATGCACATGCAAGATAGTAAATGAAGTGGCAAACATTTTTAAATAACATCTTTAATTAAAGTTTTTGCAAAGGCAAAATATTAAACTTAAAATAGGTCTTAGTACATCAAAATACTAAGTTCTCTAATTGTATTCCAAGCATGGCCTTTGAAACATAATATCCTGTATATCACAGAGGAGCAACCTTGATCTGCAATTGTACAGAATGAATTTTACAAACATAATAAATATATTTACCCCCTTACACATAACAGTATATGTACAACAGCAGTTGACAATAGTAGCTCAGAACAGCAAATAAAGGATATTCCCCCACTCCGTAATCTATTGGTACCCTATGCACTCTGGAACATGTCTCATTGGATGACTGTACATATAGCTAAACCAAGGTAGTTCTTCCTGTTAAAAAAAAACTCCTTTTGTTCCACAATGTCTAATCCACCAAATAATAATTAAAAGACACACCGCATGAACTGCCTGAAAAAAGCAGACAACAGGGAAACTAATGGACTGGATTTTACACATTTCCCAACCAATCACAGCAATGGGAAAACAAGACTTTAAATGCCAGACACCAATACATAACAATATGCAAGTTTCTTCATCTTCTCTAGACGCTAACCTCAAAGTCTAAAAAGAACTCTAATTCCAGTTGGGGGTGTGTGGGTGGGGTGGCACACAGTAAACCCCACGATGCTGTGTAAGGCAGCCCAGTATAAATCCAGTGTGCGATATCCTAAAACCACTATTCACTTCCTGGACAACTTGCTGCATTCTATTTGGAAGCTTTTGCTTTGGGGGAAATTTGGGGGGGCTTTATTGTTTATAAAGGAGCTTTTACAAATTGAAGAGATTGACTCAAAATGAACTTCAACAAGGTCTCTTAACTCCTTCACTGGAATTAAGAAATTTTACTCTGGTAGTGTTATGTGGTAACATAATTACTGCTAACTGTCAAGCGGTGGAATTACTTTCACAGACTCAATGAAGTTTACTTTAACACTCCTAATTGTGCAGCAGAAATAGAAAAAACATTTATAAAAAAAAAACCCTGTTACATGACACAACATGTTCTTTGCTCTTTTGTAGAAACTGCGCTTCAGAATCACGTATCATATTCTTGGAAATAAACTTGGACCACAATTACACTTTAAATAGTGTTTAGGAAACTGAATGATGTTCAAATGCAACTTGTGAGTACAATACAGGAACAAGGAGTATGAAGCCCCAAAGAAATCTTGTCGCTAACGAGCAACTAAGGGGGAATAAAAACATGTTTTATTTAAATAGTCCAATACAAAGTTCCTTATGTGACTAAATTCTCTATTATCTCCTTAACAGAAAACATATTTCAATTTGTTTTCAACTTAGGTGTTTTAAAATGATTGCACACACTAAAACCCAACAGAATTAGAGCAAAAAAAGTTGTTTTTCTGATTGAAGCACTGCAGGAAATTTACTCTCTCAGGAATCAAAAAAAAAGTATTGTCATACTGGCAAAACAGGTATTCTGCAAACTGAAAAGGCACAAGACTCTCAATTTTGCCCAGTTGCTCTGCAAGTTTCCATCAGCCATCATGGTTATAATTATGAAGTTATCTTTCCCCATTTTTCCATCATAAAAAGGTGCTCCATTATCTGTGCAAATTTTAACATAAGCCCTCCTGAAATCATTAATTGTTTCCATAATACTGAACTATTTAAAGG